ACAGGAAAACATTCCCCTCCTTTCATTTTTGGATGAAGGCACCAAGGTATGGAAGAAGAAGGCGAAAGTATGCACTTAAAAAAAAAAAAAAAGTCAAAGTAATGAGAAAATAAGTTCTGAGGAAACTGGTTCCAGAATGACGATGTAAACCAGATGACACTTGCACCAGAGCCTCCAACACGTCGCAGAGCCGGGGAGGAGAGGACGGGGAGGGAGGCGAGGGTCACCAGAGGATTTAAGCTTTCTGCTTGCCAAGCAAGACAAAGGCTCCCAGTCACCACCTGTAGGCATGAAGCGTGCAGCTGTCTTCCTAGGACAGCCCGCCCCCCAGGTGTAACCATACAGGAGCACGGAGAATGCAGACTGTCAATGAAATCTTTGTCGGATTTGTTCTGTATCTTCTGATCTGTCCATCCACCCTAGGAAGAATTTAATGGCCCTGCTGGGAGAGAGCCCCAACAAGTTTATGAGTCAGGGAAAGAACAGGGAAGATGGATGCTCAAGTCATGCAGAGCCTGATGGAGGGTTTCTTACTTCCTCTCACCTTGCAGAATCCCAGTAGGGTGGCAAGTGTTCAAGTCCACTGTGTGGAGAAGGTGGGTGTGTGTTTTGAGTCAAATGGTGCCACAGTCTACCTCCTACGTTAAGCCAAGTAGAGCTGGTGTCTCACCCTCTGCCAAGCTGGCCCACGGCAGCTCACGTGGGGCCCAGACACAACTCCGTGGGAGATGACCTCCTTTGTGTATAATTTAAGATTAATATGAAACCTTCAGGCTTTCATATCATACCCAATCAAAGGCATCTCGGCTGGGAACTCTTTGAGTAACAGATTCTGGTGGGGTCTTCATCTATCTGCTAAGGTCGATGGATTTCCAGTCCAATGACTCTCAGGTGAAGAAAAATATCAAAGGGAAAACCAGATTCTAATAGTTGGCAGGTGTGCACTGATCTCCAACTGTCCTTTCTGCACTCTCTCCCCCCAAGCAGAAGACACTACAAATTTCAGAGAGCTCATCATGGACGCCACATAGCAGGGAAGTCCAGATAAACGCCAAAGGGCCCACACTAGCTCTGAACCCACACACCGGGGACTCAGGACCTACGTGAGCATGGAGAAGAACACAGGGCAGGCATCTGTCAGTATCTGTCGCTCCCCTGCTCAAGGTAAGCAAGAGCACCCCACATCTCTATGGGTGGAGGGAGAGGGGGAGTGGGCAGGTCCTCAGAGAGAGGAGTGATCACTTACACGGGAAGGGAGAAAGGTGTGGAATTCACATTCTGGAGCTCAAGCCCCAAAGAGAGACAAGTATCTTCCTCACAACACACTTCCTTTCTGGCTCAGATGGATCACTGCAGACAGAAACCAAGAACCCAGCCTGCTGGGCTTCCCACAGGGTCAATCAGTCACAGTGCCCAGTAACAGCAGGTGTGAGGATATGGGCAGAGGACCACTAAGAGCTGGACCAGAGCCCACCACTCTTTAAGACACACAAAAAAAACCAGTCAAGGAATTTGATCATGTTTCACAAAGTGACCTAGTGGCCCGGAGAAAAGCAAACAGCTTCCATCTGATGCCTGGGGCTCTCCAGCCGCCCCCCGGCCCCCACCCCAAACACTCCTCTCCACTTCTAGGAGGCAGGGAGGAAGAATTCTCTGAACGTGAATCTTGACTTAAAAACTGCTCTCACACAATCAAAACCTGACAATTCCATGCAAGGCTGATACCATCACCAGGGTTCTTTGTTCGTTTCTGTTCTTCTCTGGGGAGGTGGAATAAGGGTACTGGATTAACAAAACCCTCTCTCGGGCCGGATTAGAAATTAGCTCATGCTTTCAGACATCTCAGTCTTAATACAGCACGTCTGTCCCAGCATTTATGACACCAAGGGAAGGGACTCTGGACTGGTGAGGTCAAACGACACACCAGAAAGCTACGCCTCTGCTTGCATCTCTTGAGACGGCTGTTCTGTCTCCTCCAACATGAAAAAGGAGGAGGAGGGAATAAAGACCTCAGTTGAAAGAGAGGGCTGGGAGACCCATTAGGAAGTCCCCTCCACCATGGTTGCTTGAGCAGGTGCAGCAGAAAGCAAGTCTGGAACTTTCCCTGACCAGTAATGAATACTTTGCCAAGGAACCAGGATGGGGCAGGGTGAGGACCAGGACGGGTTTTGTTGGGGGAGAGGGAGGGGGTGGTGAGGGTGGGACCTGGGGAAGGGGTGAGTAAGGAGGGCTGTGTGTGAGAAGCCTTGTGCCCTCCCCAGGTCAGCAGCATCTGGAGCTGTTTCTCTAGCAGACAGTAAAGAACTCGATTACATCCAGTTAACTGTGCTCTAAACTGATTATGCATGTGCTGGGCTAATGGATTACATTAGCAAGAGGAAAAATAACATGCAATCAATCTCCATTTACTACAGGCCACACCAGGGCCTACAGAAAAACTGACTCTCAACCACCTCCAGTCCCCACCCCAAATCTACAGACTCGTGACACCCCAGGACAGAGAGCCCCCTCAGTGGCAGGAGAAGTCTGTCTTAGTCACACTGCAGGACAGAAAGGCTTGGTGCATGTGTTGGAATAAGCCCATCGCTGTGTCATTCAGGAGTGGTTGAGAGCTCCCCGCCCCCACAGCAGAGCCACCGCGAGCCAAGGGACATTCATTACCCAAGGACTAATGAGACCAGACTAATGACCCACGGCTCCTGACACAGGGAATTCTGCTGTGAATGTGGGGGGGTGTTCACCCCCGGGGTTGTGCCAGCCAAGCGCACTGTTAGGGGACTTCTCCTTTGGGTGCTGGTTCCCAAGTTCTATCCTGCACCCAGTATCTACGGCCCTTCCACCGGCGCTGCCTTTTTTTCAGTAGGAGTTTTCCCCATCTTTTGAATTAAAAAGAGAGAGAGAGAGAGAGAGAGAGAGAGAGAAAGAAAAATAAGGCCAGAGAGGAGGACGGTCCACAGTTCAGCAAAACACAGATGGAAACACAAAAAATGCCTCCCTGACACCCACCCAGGAAACCGCCTCAACCTGACTTGCTAGGTGTGACCCATGAAGGTGGTTTGGGGACCAAAAAGGGATCATCTCGGTGAATCCTCCAGGTTCCAGGTCCTTCAGAAGCAAAGCCAAGGGCGTGGTATACTCTTATGGGAGGATGCAGCGTGGAGAGTTAATCACCACCATGCACGTTTTATCATCTAAAGGACATTTTTTTCCCCTCAGATGGAAGAGGCTGGCTTCTTGCCACTTCTAAACAACCCTCATCAAAGTTGCATACAATCTTCCATGGCCACACACAGTACTTTGAACTAATTTTGCTCAGTCAGGTCCTTTGGAAACAGGTTTTTTCTATGGGTTTTCCATCAGGTTTTCTGGACATCAGCACCACCCTACAGCCGCCTGAGACCTCTAACTTCAACTGACCACTAGGAGCCTTTTCTTTCAAGGGTGGCCCAAAACTAAGCCATCCAGTGAGGTTCTTGCTCACTTAGAACAAGGGGGTTGGCTGCTTGGTGTTCAGACCTTCCCCACTGCACCATGCCAGCCCATCCATGCTGGGGTCAGCAGTCAAATCCAGAACCTTCTAGTCCCACCACCTCATTTCTGCTTTCTCCTCCTTTCCATAAAATAGTTTCTTATCCACGCTACACAGGCCTCCCACCAAGCTGAAGACGACCAATTGTAAAATGAATCACAGTTATCAATCTCGGCAGAGACGGATATAGGGAAAGGACCTGAAGTCCTCCTTACTTGGGAGTCTCCCTTTAAAATCACCATGAGTAGAAAGGGGATTAAACTAGCTCAGGGTCAACAGAAAGGCTCCCTCGCCCAAAAGTGTGGGAACTGGTGTGAAAGGGAAGGGGGGTGGGCGGGGGGGGAGGGGAGGGAGAGGCTGATGATAGAAGGGAGAAAATGCAAAGGGAAGAGTGAGGGTGTGGACGGCATGTGGGAGGAGGCTGGGCAGATTTATGGCGATTTGTACCTGATTGTTCATACTAAAGCCATTATGGGATGATTAGAGAAAAAGGTGAGGCTTTAAGTCCAGTGAAAATCAATAGAAACGTCTGGAGCAATTCTGCCTCGCAAGTGAAAGGACTATTTACAGTATGTGAGCACCTCCTCCTCACCGGAGAGAGAGACTGGAGGGGGGCGGGAAGGGTAGGGGCAGGGAGGAAGGAAGGAAGGAAGGAAGGAAGAGAAGACAGAGGGAGAGGAGGAGGATGGGAGAAGCCCAGGGGAAGAGAGGGGAAATGTAAATATAAGGAATAGAAAGGGGGCACAGAACAAGGAAGTAAAGGGAGAAAGAACAAAGGAGCCCCCTTAACGGACCGGACCCTAAGTTCTCCCATAGCATGTGGACCCTGTAGTCAACTATGTAATTTATTCATTGTGTTTATCACCCATCTCCCTGCAAGAGAACAGAAGCACTATGAGGGCAGGCTTTTTTTTTTTTGGTCTACTTTGTGCATGGAGGTAGCCATGTGCCCAGAACAAGACCTGGCATATAGTAGGTGCTCAATATAAATCTGCTGAATGAATGAATGAATGAATGAATGAATGAATGAATGAATCCACAAACAAATGAACTACGTACTCCAGGGGCATCCAGGAGAGACGAGATGAAAGGAAGAGGAGGGGGGACGAGACGGAAAAGGAGGGTGCGAAGCACGCGGGGGAAAGGGGCAACGCAGGAACACAAAGGTACACAAAAGCCACGACCGTAAGGGACAAAAGCCAGGTGACAGAGTCTGGGGCTAAGTATCGGGCTGCCGTCTCTGTCCATAAAACCTGCCCTCCAAAATGGTGCAGCTCTCAAAGAGAACCTTCGGCTACCAGAAGCCGCCAGCACGTTGCAGCTTCACGAGGACGCGCGTGCCAACGCCCCTTCCAACACCAACCGGTCGCCGACCCCGCCGTGACACAGAGTGTCACCCGTCCCCAGCCATCCCCAGCCCCCAGCTCCCGGCGATCCCACGCACGCCTTCCAGAGGCGGCCCGGGCCCTACCTTGTACAGCTTCAGGCTGGCCTCGTGCCTGGAGTTGACCGTGTGCAGCCGCAGCTTCTCCAAGCTGTTGGTGTAGTAGTCGCATGCGTTGCACTTGAGGTGGACGGGGTTGCCGATGGCCACGCACTTGAGCCGCCACTCGTTGGCTTTGCCGCCCTCCTTGATGTGGGCCACCAGCTGGTGCTTCTGCACGTGCTTGTCTGTCTTGCAGTGCAGCTGAAAGTTGGCCTTGAGCTGGGTGTTGTAGCGGCAGAGCTTACACTGGTACGAGTCCCCCAGCACGGCCTTCCACTCGTCCTCCGGGAGGCTGCGCTCCACGTTCATGTGCAGCCCCAGCATGTCCAGGTTATCCGTGGTGAACTTGTTGCAGACGGCGCACTGGAAGAGCTTCAGCGACGGGTCGTTGGTCTGGATGAAGCTCTCGCCCAGGTTCATCAGCTCCTCCGACACCAGCTGCCCGCCCCCGAGGCGCATGTCTAGGGGGATCTCACCGCCCACTGCGGGGGGGGGAAGAAGCAGAGGGGAAGAGCATCAGAGGCCAGGCTCACAGCACCAGCCAGCCTCCCCCACCCCCAACCCAGGTGCGAGGAGAAAAAAGAGCACATTTAAAGTGTTGCAAGGTGCTACTAACTGGGCACACCAGCCCCTACCCTCCCCCCCCCAAAAAATCAACTTTATGTGTTCAGATCTTTCCCACGGACACTCTGAAATTTGCAGAAGGCTTTATGGTTTGTTGTTGTTTTTTTTTTTTCTTTTGGGAAAGAACACCCAGAACCATAATCTTTTGAATATTTCGATTCAGTCCCTCACTCAGATCCAAGAAAAGATAGGAATAAACATCATTTACTGGACATAACAGAATCTGAAACTCCAGACCCCTAAAAGCTGGACGATAGTTACAACTGCATTCTAAGATATGAAGCCTTCGTGGTAAATCAGAACCGGGCCCAGAATTTATCTACAGCAGTACAACCCCAACAGAACTTCCTGCACTGTCCGATGATGGGCTAGTCACCAGCCACAGCTAAGTTGCAACCAAGAAACTGGATTTTCAGTTTTATTTATTTTTAATCCATTTACATTTAGATCGCCACATGTGGCTAGGGGCTACTGCGGTGGAGAGTGGACAGTCTCCCTAATTCCTCAGCACACCCCACGGGTCAATATTCTGCCTGCCTGTCAATGGGGCCAGCTCCTCCCACATGTCCCCAAGAATACGGTCACTCCCTTTTTCTGAGCCCCCATCGTGCACGAAATGTAGGTCTGCTACGGGACATGTCACATTCTCCGTTGTCGTCAGCCACGTGCAGAGAGCCCTGTGTCCCCATCCCTCTTTAGGGCAGGCGTCCAGACTTCTCCTCACTGAACCTCTAGAGAGTGCCCAGCCCCCTGCACAGATGTTGTGCGGGACAAGGTTAAAAGGGAACCAAAATGGTACAGGTTCAGGAAGTGGGTCAAGCTGGGTAATGACATGCAAAGGTCAGCTCGCGAAGTTCCCAAAAAGAGTCTGAGGAAGACCTGCTCCTCCCTCTCCACCCTGTTACTTCTCAGCTCATCACTGCCCTGCATAAAGTGGGGATAGGCTCTCAATCACCAGTGGGAAATTACTGCTGCAAACTCATTTCTATCATGAGAAGGGCTTGGAAAGAGCGGTCTTCCCTCCATTCCCGAGCCGAACGCTCAACACTGGCTTCTGTTTTCCGCCTCGCCCCCAAACACATGTGCACGTGAGCTACTATGTCCTTCCTGCCCCTCCCCAACTGATACTCAGATTTGACCTTTTACATATGGTTGGGCTGAGGTTATTTTTTTTTTAATGACTGATTACAATCCAAGTTAGTGGCTAATCAAATAAAAGATTTTTTTTTTTAATGATTTTCTTATTTATGCTACATGAGGCACCTCTAAGAGACGATCCGTTACAGGTTCTACTGAGCAGTCTGGCCGTGTTCGAAGCCTGTGGACAAGCTAGCAAGCCACAGAGATCTTCTGCACGTGCAATCCAGAAGGCTCAGGAAGCTTTCTGCTTGTCTTCTCCTTTGCCATCCCCCCTGAGGAGAGGAGCCATAACTAAGATATTCTTTTTAGAACAAGGGGGAAAAAAAAAAAAAAGAAAGAAAAAGAAGGAAAAAAACAAGCCTAAAAGCTCCATCCTTTAATGGGGACGAAGACCAGGTAGCAGCCATGAAACACACACGGCGTTCAGTCAAAGCGGAGACTGCCCAGAGGGTAAGACAAGGAGCAAACATATATTTGTTTCTGATGCCAACCACCTGAAGCATCAAATCTTCCCCACTTTTTAAATTTAACCTCACACATCAATATTGCGCTAAAGAGAAATTCAGCTGTCACTTGTTGGATGCCTGAGTAAAAATGAGAAATCCTCCGGATGCACAGAAGAAGTTAAGTCCCTATTCCCATTCCAAGCTCTTGAAATGCAAATCGAAGACCAACACAGAGAAGCAGTGAAATGAAGGTAACAGGCAAGCCAAAACACCCTCCAAGAATGGTACCTTGGAGGAACAAACCCAAGGCTTCGAATCCTATAATCTGTAGAGCCAGAAGGAACTAATTCAGCCCCCCAAGAAGTGAAGGAACCTCACCCCATGCAGAGGAAGTTAGGAAGAGAACCCCTGCAAGTGAGAACTCAGCACGGTTTACTCTTGAGCTACACTGGAGAGATCATCTCGTCGGCGAGGGGGCCCCCACGTCTAACACTAGAATTCACACCCTGGCACAAAAGTCTGCGTATCAGCACGTCGTCAGAGAGGCACGTGGGTTAAAAGACACCTTCTAGACTCCAAGGCAGAAGCAGAGGACCGTCCCCCAAATCTATGGCCAGTCGGCTCCCTGGGAAACATGCAGATGCCTCGCAAGCGACCTGACTGGCGATGCTGTGCTCAACTTTATCGTCTAAAGGGATGTCTGGAACGATATTTCCGAAGGCCTCCAGCCTAGTATCTTATCTACAAATGGCAGCACATCCAACCAGACCAGACCCAAGGGTGTTGACCCTCTCCTTGGAGTCCTCCAGAAAGCAAGCATCCCCAGAATCAGCACCTGCTTGGTATCACAAAAGAGAAGGTTCTGTCAAAGGAAGTGTGACAACAGTAACTTTGTAGGCCGAAGTGTATTTCACAAAAATGTTTCTCCCCCTGCAGAGCCCAGTAATACCTAATTAACACCTAGAGCCTTTTCACAAATGGCCTCATGAAAGATCGGTAGGGTTGCAGACCGAACCGAATGTTACCGCCCTTTCACATTGCATACGTAACGCCACACGACTTACACTCTAAGCCCTTTGGGCATGCGCTCCCGTACCCACACCCACTCAGACTTCCAGGATAAAGTACTTGTGACTCTCCATCTCAGCAGCTCTGTGGCCTACGGTGGGCGCTGGAGGTTTCCAGAGGCTCAACCTGGCTGATAAGCAGTAACCCTGAAAATTCAAGGGCCTTTGCTTGGCTGACCTGGAGAAGGTCCTTGGAAGGAAAAGCTCTGTTCTCTTTAAAAAATAAAGTATGGATCTGCTATGTACGTCCAGAACACAGGGATCCATTCTTCTATCTCTTTTGCACCTGCCATACGCCCGTAATGCATGATGCCCCGCAGACTCACGGACACTTGTATAAAAAGCACGGTATTTTTCTACCGCTTAATTCAAGCCTTAGTCAGAATTACTGGTTTTCAAAGTAATTAAAAAGATCTCACTTTGACCCAGTATGAACCCATCCGTTTTCTGTGTCTTCATTCCATTTACATTATATTTGATTTACTCCAAGATCTGCCTCCAAGATTTTAAATCTCCAGATGAGAAAACCCCAATTCCCATAGGCTTAACAAAAAAAAAAAAAAAAAAGGTCTTACAGTATGATGCCATCCCTTGGTGTGTATCCCCTATGGTTCACTCTGGGGACAAATAAGATGATTGATCCCTGTGCATCCATTATTAACCAGTTGGTAAAACATCTTCAAATCGTTTGGTAATAAAGGATCCACAGGTCAATATTACAAAATAGAAAACAAGATTAAAGTAGCAAGGATTCAAATTTAAATGCATAGCAGGAAAAACAAATTAAACGCTATGAAATATAACTCATCAGCAGCAATTAGCACTAGAACACCACACAAAGACATGCCAACTGGTGAGGCTTGGCCCCTGGCATTAACCTAAAGCATGCCAGAATAAAGGTATTTGCTCACGCTTCGTTGCCGAGAACAACTTATTCTCATGTCAGGAAAGGACTACTGTTTAATTCAGGCCACTGCCACCGGTCCCACGAGATTGGCAGGGTCGGGGGGACAGAGACCAGGCAGTGCCTGTCGGAGGCACAGGGTGGTGGGGGCAGGAACGACCCAACCATCACACTGGTCCTCGTGAAACTGATTTGTACCTTTTCTTGCCATAGAGGCTCTCCCCCAAAAGTGATCCTGATTCTTTTCATGCAAAGACTCATGGTTTTTGGCATCCAAATCCTATCCTCTTGATCCCATTCTAGGTCTCTGAAGCCAGTTGGTTAGACCTGCTGCCCGGACACAGCCAACTCACCTTCTCTAACATGGGTGGTTTTTCATGGTAACAAAGGCTCTGTTAACCAGCATCTAATGGATATTAAAACTTTGCTTTCTCTAATGTACAATTTTAGAATTTATTCGTTCTTCATCTAGCACACCACTCCTTACGGTGCCCCAGGGCAATTTTTATTCCCAACTATACTTATCACTGACAACTCACGCAAAACAGAAAAGAAAAGGAACGGGTCTCTTTCATCAAGATCCTCACGAATACACTGGACAAAGAACTCTGAGAAACCTATCTGGATGGCTCCCCGCTCAGTGCAGAACCAGCCTTTGGTTATCTGAATAAGGTACGCTACGGTTTCCAGTTGCTCTTATGGAGACGACTGTCCCTATTTAAAACCTGAGCTGCAAGTTTCCTGTAAGTTATAGCAAATATTCAGCGGAACCCAGAAGTTTCAGATAGTTGTGGCGATTTTTCAAACTGAGAAAGGGACGAAGAAAGAGAGGATGGGAAGAGAAAGGAAAGTGGACCAGATGCCAAACACCAGAGGCAACACTGAAATTTTCATCCCGGCCTGTGGAGCCGGAATATAATCGTGGGTCTGCTGAATGCATACGATCCTCCACATGCACACAAGAAGGGGTGCTTGAGAAAAATATCTGACCGTCAGACACTCAAGTTCACACAAAACCAGTCTTGAGAAAATAACAAGCAGAGCCGAATCCACGGGACTTGACAGAATCAACTGAATCAACAGGACCTCGGTCTACTCTCACTGCTCCCCCGTTAAACTCAAGCCATCAGAACAAACAAACACGCAGTCAGCCTCACCTAGAGCGGGCGTCACGGCGGCCATGGGCCCGGTGGGATCCAGCTGGAATCCGCTCATCATGAACTGGGCATCCGAGGCGGTGCTGTCCATCTTCAGGTTGGGCAGGCTCATGTTCTGGGCCAGGTAGTACTGGTAAAGCTCGGCCTCGGCAGGCGAGGGCAGGCTGCCGAGGCCCAGGTGTCGGCTGTGCTGGATCTGGGTCATGTTCTGCTGCAGGAGCATCATGTTATGCATGTGCTTCTCGCTGGTCATGTGGATGCGCAGGTTCCTGGCCACGTTGGTCTCGTAATCGCACACCTCGCACCGCCAGGTGGGTTTGGTTTTTGGTTTGGTGGGCGAGGGGGCCCCGCAGGAGCTGCCGATGTTGGCCGCCGCAGCCGCCGCCGCTGCCGCCGCGGCCGCCGCCCCGGCCGAGTGGCTGAACACCTGCTCCCCCCCTCCGTTCTGCAGGTTCTGCATGTTGTTGAGATGCTTGTCGGACTGCATATGAATACTGAGGTTGCCTTTGGTAGTTGTGGAGTAGTTACACACCTCACAGCGGAAAGGCTTGTAACCACACGTGTAGCTCTCACCTCGCGCCAACCGCGGGTGGGGCTGCCCGCTTTTGCAGTAGACACAGGAGCCCCCCGGCTCCGGGTGCTTCTCCTTCATGTGTGCCTCCAGGGTCTGCTGGTATTTATAATGCCAGTTGCACTTGGGGCACTTAAGTGTCTTACATGAGTTACGAGAATGCATCATGGTCATGTGGCCGCCCAGCGAGCGGGAGGAGCCCAGGACCGTGTCGCATTTGGGGCACTCCACGCCGCTCCCCGAGGGGCATTCCCCAACCCCCAGCTCGCAGAGGGAGCCAGCGTGCTGGTGATGGGGGACAAAGCCCCCATCGTCGCCCTCTGTGCTTTCATTTGGTTCCGGTACTGTGGCATTGTCTTTATTGGCACTTTCGTCAGCGAAGTCCAGCCTCCTGCCGCCCTCTGCCACACTGGCCCTGACACCCTCACTGTTAAAGCTTAAACGACTCCTCCTGTCCGCACCATCAAAGACAACAAAGGAAGAAGCAGAATTAGAACTAGTAGAAGCTGCGCCCCTCGACAGGGTCTGGAGCACATTAGGCATTAAGGGGGAGTTAGAAATGCTTTGGTTTGAGAGAGCAAGGTCCTTTTTGCTGCTGCCTGCCGCGGCCCCAGACTCCTCGTGGGGCCTGTCCTCCAGATCGTCGTCCAACTCGCTTGGAAAGAGTCCTTTGCAACCCTCGTCCTCCTCCTCCTCCTCTTCCTCCTCTTCCTCCTCCTCCTCCTCCTCCGCCTCTTCTTCCTCCTCTTCCTCCTCCGCCTCCTCCTCGGCTGGCTCTGCTTTCTCGGAGAAGCAATCTGGATCGCCCACGTCTTGCTTCTCTCCTGCGGCTACCCCAGAGTCCTTGCCCTCTGAGGATTTGGTAGGACTGGAGGCCAGAGGCCCCAGGGGGACTGAGGTAATGGGGGTCTTCAGGACCGAGCTGGTGAGCCCGCCAAGGTTCAAGAGGGTGCTGGGGGTCAAGATGCCAGCCTGGGGCTGCTCGGGGCCCGCGGCAGAGCCAGCTGGGAGAGCCTCCTCCCCTTCCATTCGAATGCCACTAAATTTACCATAAAAACTGTGTCCGGGGCCTATGAGGTTAGCTGTGGAAACTAAAGGGTGTTGAAAGTTTTTGTTTTTTGGTTCCAAAAAACTTACAAGGGGTTCCTTGTCTTTGCCAATCCCTTGGATGATAGCGGAGATGTTCTTATTGCTAAGAATTTTCCGCTCATCTTCACTCAGGGTCATTCGATGGTCGTGCACCGCGTGGGTCACAAACGAACGGACGTACCCGAAGGAGAGTTTGCACAAGAAACACATCAGGATGGGCTTCCTCTTGCCGTAGAGCACGAAGCCATCGAATTTGGACAGGTCCACATTGTTGGGAACATCTTTGGATACGCAGGAGCTTTTGGCAGAGCCATCGCTGTTCAGGTAATCCTTGTTGCTTTTGTGTCGCACGTCAAAAACGCGGAAGCTGTGCAGGACGGGGCTGAGCCCCGTCAGGGCTGAGGTATTCGGGAAAGCCTGGGCTGGGCCCTCAAACCATTTCCCGAAGGATGAGGCTATGTGGAAAGTGTTGATGATCTGTGGGTAGACTGGTGCAGCACAGGAAGGGTCCCCCTGCTTGCCCCCCGCCCCGGGGAGAGAGTTCAGGAAGAGCGAAGGGAGAGGCCCGCTGCCACAGGTGCCCCCGCCTTGGGTCAGCTGGCTCAGGCTCTCGACAATGTAGGCCGAGCCATCGGGCTGGTAGACGATCTCCCCAGCCAGGTTCTCCACATCACTCTCCTCGTCCCCCTCCTCACTGGTGTCGCTCCCGCTCGCCTCTCTCGGGGGGAGCGGGGGGCGCGCGCTGGGGCAGTGGTGCTCCATGTAGGTCTGTAAGCTGGCGAAGGAGGCCGAGCACTCGTCGCAGCTGACCTCCTTGCCGGCGGGCTCGGCGGCGGGGCGGGCCGGGGCGGCGCCCTCCGCGAGGCGTTCATTGAAGGGGGCCCTCAGGCTGTCCAGGGGCCCGTGGTTCTCGCTTGTGGACTGCTCCATGCTACTGGGTTTGTCGGGGAGGTGGGTGCTGTTGAGTTCAGTCCATTGCTGGTGCTGAGGGATACCGCACCCATTGTCCTTCCCCGAGACGACAGGCGAGTCACAGCCTTCCATGGTAAGGCCTGCGTGGAGCTTTCATTGCACCCAGTACGGATCGGACCTGAAGAGCGGAGGCAAGGGGGGAGAGGAGGGAGAGAGGGGGAAGAGAAAGAGAAAGGAAAGAGGTTAGGAGGGCCGAGGCTAGGTCCCGCACAGAGCACTCTAACAGGCTTCTGTCCACACCCACAACAGAGACCGCAAGGGCAGCGGGGACCCCAGCGATCTCCCCACGCCGTCCAACGAACGCACAGAAGGCGGCTGGCACCAGGGTCTTTAAGGCCAGGGTCTGTGGCAGGAGTGGGGAGCACGGGGAAGGGGGCACACAGGAGACTCCCTCTTGGTCTTCGGACTGTCGGCTGCTCTACCCCCTGGAGGCCAGTTCGAATTTCCGTTCTTTGCAAGCACAGCGTTCGAGTCACGGCCGGGCTACGAGCCACAGCAGAAGAGGAAGATCGCGTCACCTCGCCGGGCCGCGCCGAGGACACAGAGTGGCAGCCCTACTGCATGCATACAGATGGCCAACACCAAGTCCATGCTGGCTGACTGCACTGTCCGTGGGCCAAGGGAACACCAGGGACGGATGGACGAGAGGAGGAAGTTTTTGTACCCCCAGAAAAAGGACGGTAAGCCCGTGTGGGGACACGCTCGCTGATCTGGAGGTGAAGCTGCTGCCATTGCTCTTACTGGTCGAATGTCTAGTTTGAGGAGCTCAAAGGAAAGTGACTGAGGGCTGCACGGCTCAGGGAGCAAGTCCGCAGGGCACACACAGGCTCTGCCAGCCCTCAGTGGGGCCTGTGGCTACATTCATCCTCTCCGGCTCTGGGAAGCACCATCCCATTTGACAAGCAGTAAAACTGAGGAGCTAACTGTAAGAACAGGCCCAGGGCCGCCCTGACACTGTGAACCAGAAGGCAGATCTCCAAAATCCCACCTCCTCCCCCCAACCCACAGAACACCCTTGCTTGCGAGTGAGCTGGCTTCAGACTACGACTGTGACGGCACACAATCTCAGCCCGAGGTAGCTGGGAAGACTCTCAACTGGTCGGCTCCCCCTCCAGCAGCGTCGATCCTGCCCTGTCTGGACGGAGCCCAGTCACCACTGGTGTGGTGGTTTCTGCTGTCAGGGATCTTAGCGGCGAGCCGAGACGGCAGCTGGGCTCGGCCAGCCCCCGTTCCACACCTGCCTCGTAGTTATTAGTAGCTGCTGGAGCAGCTGTCCTTCAGCCCTGGGGCTTTTCCGTTTCGTACTCCAAAGCGCCACTGAGCTGAATCTGCCCCCTGAGACTTCACCTCCCTGGGGAGGGAGGCTTCAGGCCACCCGCCACCTCTCTTGTTCCTGTGGTCACATCATCACAGGGGCATTCCTTCCATCCCGGCATGGATTCTAAGGCAACTCAGACTCTTGCACGGCCCTGATTGTTCGCCTGCAAAGCCCAGGCTGCCTTCCCCCCCACCCACATACACGCCTCCTCCCTGGAGAACACTTGTTTGCTTCTCCACCCAGCATCTCATTCATACACATCGGATGAAGGTTTTGGCTGGGTTTGGTCTCTCTTTTCCCCGACCCTACCCCCATCTTCCCACTCCTTTTTTCATTTCTTGATTTTTGACTGCACAGTGAGCCAACAGCTCCCCCTCGGGAAAAGACAGGGAAGGCAGGTTTACCAGAAGTCTCCGGAGAAATAACTTTTTGGAAGAATGCATCCTCTGTTTTGTTCAAAACACACACACACACACACACACACACACCCCACCTCTCAAGCTTATAACCTCTAACTCCGTTACAACAAAGTTCCGTGTGCCTTAGAAAAGACACAGTGATTTTCAACAAAGATGACTACACTAAACCAAACCAAACAGCAAATGCAATGGGACTTCAGAAGGCTTAGCTGGGATACAGGTGAGAATCCAGGATGGCTCTTCTTAAGGATGCGCCTGATTGGCTGGACGACATCTGATTGACAGCTCGGGCCAAAAAGGTTGGCAGGCCTGAAGGGGCGGGAGGGTTAACAGCCCGATTGTAAAATCAATGTCATAAATGCTTGGTAAGTTACAGGAACATGCTGGAAGGGGAGGCCACGATTGATAAAGGAGAACAGCTTTGATGCTTCACTAGGGACTTGAGTATCGACAGCAAAGCCAATCTCCTCTCCAGCCTAGGCTAGGCCAGAGAAACCTGCAAGCGTTTACCAATTAATTGGTGGGCTTTTCTTGCTCTGCTCTCTCCTACCTCCTCCTCCTCCACAAACCATTCAGCTAAATGACTGGGACTTTTAGAAACTCATCTAACTTTGTTTTCTATAGCCAAGCAAAAGGTGTCGAGAAAGGACGACACTGTGGCCACCCCCAAAAGCCAGATGACTCCGTGGTGGTGACACCTGCCCCACGAGAGAGGCCACATGGGATACCACTCATTCACAAGGAGTGAGGACAGCCCGTTAAGACACCGGTGGCCAAGAAGGATCCCACTTCATGATCCATGCTCTGGGCTTCCTTTCAATGCATGCTGGCCATGACAAGCAGAAACTTTTATAACCATGCTCAACAAAGTGTGGCTCAGGGACAAGTAGCATCGTTCTTCACCAGCGAGCCTGCGTAACACAGACCTCTTGGGCCCCGCTCCAGATCAGAATCTGCATTTTCACATGATACCCTGGGGACTGGCACTAAAGCTTGAGACACCTTCACCAGATTACCATCTGTTCCATGCTCTGTGCCTGGACTGCCGGGAACCAGGCGGAGGCAGTCTTGGATTCCCCCGCGGGTCCCAGAGAGGTGTAGGGATGGGGTGGACCAGAAGGGACCTGAGGACAGAGATGAAGCAATCTCTTAAACCTGCCCAATCCTTCAGCTCAAGGACCTCAGGCTATCCAGAACTCTCCCACCCAGCCAGCTGTCCCTCTCGCTCTGTTTATCAGCCATTCAATAAGAAAAAGGTAGTTCTTACTTAAGGAGGCAGAAGTCAACTCGGCAGGTCGATCAGCACTCTGTCTGTAAACATGGTTTCCCGTAAAATCAATGATCTTCAGTTATAGAGGGCAGCCTGGGAACCCAGCGGGTCCCCACGCTCTCACACACAGCCCCCCCAGCAGCTCTGTTCAGAACCCCCAACCCCCAGCCCTGGCTCTGCTTCCTCTTCCTCGTCCTTCGCTCACGCCAGGGCCAGCTCACACATCACAAACCCACAACTCTTTCTGCGGCCTGCTTCTCTTCTGCTGCTTATGACCCCAAATTTCCTTATAAACACAGACACATTCTACTCATGACGCCGCCTCCCCCCCCACAATACTGTACTCAACATGGTTTTGGCATTTATGTGCAGCATTTTAAGAACTATGTTAAACTTCAGAAGAGCACATCTTTCCAGTAAGACAGTCAAAGGGAAGATACAGGAACAATTCAGTTCCCTCCCATTCATGCTCTCTGCTTAGGGTTTAAATCTGCCACGTGAGAAGTCATCTTGTACAGAAAAGTTCCAACATCTTCATCAAGAGCCCTCACCCTTGCCCCTCCCAAGTTACAATTCCCTTGGAACCTACCTGTAAAGCCCCCTGCATCTTTGCTAACGGCAGTCTTTATTTTCCAAAGATTTTTCAAAATGATAAAACTCCATATTACACTGGGCCCCGCCACCAATGAAGTCGTTCATCTCCCTCTTTCGACTGAGAAAATGTGAAAGGACAGTTTTGTTACATTCCTTTAAGGAGACGGGGCTGGGTCTAAAGCAACAGTTACTGGGAAGCTGGGGGGGGGGGGGCGGCGGGCAGGATACAGTTATTAAGGAGGGGAGGGGGTTCCTGCTGTTGCTCCAGCACCCAGAGAATTAAACATGAACAGTCACACTGTGTAATTTTAAATTGTTAATTAGCACAGGGTTAATTAGGCGGTCCTTTCATAAGAGGCTGTTTGGCAGAAAACCAAGAAAAGAAACAAAGGGGAAGAAAAGAAAAACAGAATCCAGACTGCGAGAAACTGTTGCCTCCGTGAGTAACCCACGCGGCATCGCCAGAGAGAAGTGACCCAGCAGGCGCACCATTCTCCAGAAGCAACCTGCTCTGCTGGAGGGCAAGTCAGGGGAGCACCATGTTCCTGAAGGCAATCAGGCAAGAGGTCCCGAAAGCCTCACAAAATGCACATGCCCTTTGACTCAGCAATTCCCCCATTCGAGGAAATCACCCAAGATACGCACAGAGATACAACATTATTCACCACAACATTTTTAACAGGAAAAAAAATTGAAATAATCTGGCAAAACAAGGGGCTCTCCAACTAAATTACAGTGCATAGAGTTCCACAAGACATTATAAAACATCACTGTTTAGAGAAACTACTTACAGGCGTGGGAAAATGATCACATGGGATGCTAACTGAATAATGCATATATAGGTCTGCATATGGAAATACATGAGATTTGTATCAGAACTTTTAAAATGGCAATTGCTAGGGGATGAGGTTATGGGCAACTTCATTTCCTCCTTGGTGCCTTTCTTTCCTGAAGCTTTTTTTTTTTTTTTTTTTTTTTTTAAAGATTTTTTTTATTTATTTGACAGAGAGAGAGAGACACAGTGGGAGAGGGAACACAAGCTGGGGGAGTGGGAGAGGGAGAAGCAGGCTTCCCACCAAGCAGGGAGCCCGATGTGGGGCTTGATCCCAGGACCCCGGAACCATGACCTGAGCCGAAGGCAGACGCTTAACGACTGAGCCACCCAGGTGCCCCTTTCCTGAAGCTTTTTAAAATGAGAACCATCCTGAGGGAAGTCATCCCTCCTTGAATTAGGCATCACGTTAAGTCCTGCAGGGACTACACCACCTTCCTAGCCACGGTGTGAGATGGGTATCACTTATATCCCCGTTTTAAAGACGGGAAAACTGAGGTTGTGCAAGTTATACAGCCTAAAAGCTAAAACCCTAAGCTGACTGTGCAGTCTGTGTTCTGAGCCACTCTACAACATTCTTTTTTTTTTTTTTCTTCTTTCAAGAACATATTTATCTGACACACAGAGAGAGAGCACAAGCAGGGGGAGCGGCAGGCAGAGGCTGCGGGAGAAGCAGGCTCCCCAC